CCCAGTCAGGTCTTTCTGCTACCACACTGCTGGATGGCTTCAAACCACCACCTTCCAGGCTAGTCTCAAACCCAAACCCACCGCACTGCCCTCCAGTCACCCTGACTCGCAGCAACTCTTCCTAGGGTTTTGGAGACTGATTATTTACAGAGAGCAATGTGATCTTCCTCCCCAGGAGCGGCTGGTGGGTTTGATCTTCGGCCTTCAGGCTCGCAAGATCAGCTCCTCACCCTCAACACCACCATGTGCACCGCCCAGGGACCTTCACAGTAAGACTGATGCCAACAAGCTTGTTGCCCCTGAGCCAGTCTCGGTGCACAGCTGTCCTGCAGGACAGGGCAGGACATAGGGTTTCCAGGGCTGTCAGTCTTCATGGGAGCCACCTCCTCGTTCTTTGGCAGAACAGCTGGTGGGTTCAAACTGCTGACCTCTGGTTGGCATAAGCAGCGTGCCACCAGGGCAGCCTTGTGAAGTGCTCGCTGGGACTCTGGGTCAGGCCTGGCCCCGGCACGGCACCTGCCTTCTCTCATTTGTTGTACCTGCCATGGAGTAGTGGTTACGTGTTGGGCTGTGATCCCCAAGGTCAGCAGTTCAAAACCACCAGCGCTCCTTGGGAGAAAGACAGGGGTCCTTCTACTCTTATGAAGAGATACAGTCTCGGACACTCACAGGGGCGGTTCTACCCTGCCCTTGTAGGGCCGAGCTACCCCTGAGGGCTTTTTATGAATGGAGACCGCCAGGTCTCTCTCCCAAGGCTCTGCTTCCAGGGATGGATTCTCCCTCATCCCGTCCTCACAGAATCCCCCAGGAGGTTCCCTTGCCCTGTTCCCCGTCCCACAGCTGGGGGCAGGTAGGAGAGGCAACCGTCCAGCCCAGGTCTGTCGGCTCTCCGCCCCTCCCCCAGGCTCTCCGCCCCTCCCCCAGCCCTGTGCTGGTCCCTCTCAGCCCTTCCTGGGGGGGCACTGCATGGAAGGAGGCTGACAGCAGCTCTGTTAGGGAGCCCCCGAGTCTGCACTCTCCCCGCCCTCCAGGCACACTGGTTCCCAGGTGTCTGAAAGGAGGGACTGGCGCCATCACATTACTTCCAGCTCCCCACAGGTAGAGAGGGGCTGGGGTCACCTTGGAGCCTCCAGCTCAGGTGCTCCTGGGTCACAGTCTCTGAAGCCCACAGGGCAGTGAGTTTGGTTTGTTTTGGAGGGGCGGTATTGGAACTGGTGCCACTCCTGTGGTCTCTGCGGCGGCGGGTGAGAGTCACCCGCACATTTCTCTCCTCCCTGCCTGGGGTCCTCCTACTCTGTTCCAGCACTGCCTTTGACCCCCATGGCCTTTTCTCATCTCCAAAATCAAAGGCATTTTCCAGGGAGATACAGCGCAGAAAGTGCCTTCGCCTATGGAATGCGGTTCCAAATGAGGGTTGCAACAATCCTCAATCCTCGGAGCCGAGGGGAAGGGCTGGTGTTGGGACTTCTGTAGTGTCCACGCCACTGTTGATGCTGCTACTGTGGGAAGTGTCGGCACTTACTGTTGGTCTGTTACTTTGGGGTGTTGTCATTGGAAGTTGAATCCCCAGGAGTGGGGGGTGGGGAACAGAGA